CCCTTCTCCTCCTCCTCCTCCGCCTCCTCCTCGTCCTCCACGGAGGCCTGAGGAGGGGGTCGCTCGTCTCAGAGGGCATGCCAGACCACGCGCCCCCGCACGGGATGAGCGGGGCGCTTTCTCCAGGGGAGGCCGAGCGAGTTGTTGGTTGCTGTATGCTGCAGATTCGTCTGAACTGCTGGCGACTCGATCAGGGGAGCTTCCCAGGAAAAGCATCGCTTCGATCGAGACGGTTCGATGTCGAGTTCGCCCTACGATCCGAGGCGCCCAGATGTCTTCTCGGCGCCGTTCTGCGTCCAGGCGCGGCCGATCCGGTCCGGTTCCGCCAGCGTGCCGTTGCTGCCTGGCTTGGTGCCTGCTCCGACCTGGCCTGGTGTCCCCGTTCGACGCTGCTTGGATCTTGCCTCTTCAGAGCGGGGGGGGGGGGGGGGGAGGGAAGCTGCCCTTTTCGCTCTGCCCTCCCTCCTCTTGCCCCGCTAGCATGCCCGCCGGCACCTGTCGTCCCTGCAGTGTCGTGCTTCTGCCTCTCTTCCCCCCCCCCTCCTCGCCCCCTCCCCCCTCCTCGCCCCCTCCTCGCCCTGCCTGGCTCCCTCTCTTCCCCCCCTCCCGTCCCTCCCTCCTCGCCCTCCCTCCTCTGCTGCTTCCCCCCCCCCCTCCTCGCCCTCCCTCCTCGCCCTGCCCTGCTCCTGCCCCCCTCCTCGCCCGCCGCGCCCTCCCCCCTGGGGCGGCGCGCCGCCCCACGCGGAGGGCGAGTCTCCGGCCGCCCGCGGCCCGCCGCGGAGCCCGGAGCAGTGGGAGCAGGAGGAGCTCGGGCGTTGCGCCACGTCGTCGGTTTCCGATTCACTCCTCTGCCGATCGGCGCGGGTCCTCGCCACCACCCCCTCCCCCCCCACGGAGTACACCTTAGGCGATGCTTAAGAAAACCTAAGTTTTCGGCCAGAGTCTCGATTATTCTTAATGTTTCAATGTAAATCCTAAGATTTGAATGGACATTCTGGGTTTTTATTTGATTTCTGAGACTCTCAATTTCTTAACCCATGATTTCTAAAGCATTTCGCAGGGTGTAGATCTTGGCTGTTTTCAGCGCCCGTTTTAAGCAGGTGGAGTCTCCCCCACAGGACGACGCAGTGGTGCAAGCAGTCGCACCAGGCAGAGGTCCGAAGCCAGACCCCCCCCCCTCCCCCCCTTCCGCCCACTGTTGAAACACCCAATAAGAAAAACGGTCGCAACTCGGGCTTGACAAAATCTGCTGCGTGCAGGTGGTTTCGGCCCAGCCGCTGGGCCTATTCGATACATGGGCGCCTCCCGGCGCCAGGAAATCCGGCTACGTGAGTTGATTCTCCACCCCCTGCCCTTTGCGATCCTATCTTGTGGTCCCACCGAGTAAGGGGGGGGCGATAAGTGAGGGGAGGCAGAAATCTGCACAATTTGTCTCCTCAAGGGGTTCTGGAGGGGCCCAAGGGTAAGAGGAGGAATAGGTACCCATACTGCTACATTTCCTTCGGTGTTTCCCCTTTTGGGTCTCCTGGGAGGCCCTCGTCACCCCCGCTGGGTTCGCCTCGAAGTTCTGGTCAGAACGCACCCCAGGAGAGGTCAGTGGAGTAGCGAGATCGGTATCTTCTTGTTTTCCCATGCATGGGGCGGGGTGCAGGGAGGTGCACCTTTTGTGCCTCAAAGGGGGCCTAGTTTGGGCCAAAGGGGGCGTGAAAGGCGCACGCTTCCCCCCCCGATTCGTTTTCCCATAAATTGAGCGGGGTGCGGAGCGTCAGTCGCACATTTTGTTCCTCAAAGGGGGCCCTGGTTTGCCGCGAAACGTGCACGCTTCTCGCCCTCCCCGATTCGCCCCCCCCTTTCAGCAGCGCCCGAGGAGCGCCGCCGCAGCGCCCGCGATGCGGAGTTGGCCGTCACCGCCTCGGACGGGTTCTCGCCTGCAGTGGCAAATCATGGAAGCCTTGTGTGTCCTCGTCGGGTCACACCAGACTGCTCGCGCTTCAGTTACCTCGAGTTGAGTTGCTTCCACGGTTCGCTTGGATTTGCAGCTCCTCCTTCACACCACACATCGCTGCACTTGGAAGTGTGCACGTTTGCACACTGTGCCTTCGACAAATCTCGATCGCAATTGGCACTTCCATCTGCCGTCCGCGCCTGAGGATCCTCTGCGCCGCCGACTTAAAAGTGTCCTCGTCGGCATGGGCATGCGTCCACCAGTCAAGCCCCTTTCTTGGGGATGCGTGTTGGGGTCGGTTCTATGGCCCTTTGAAGGCCAACGCCAGCGTTCCCGCTGGCCACACCCCTAAAAGGATGCATTTGCATGTCTGATGGTTTATAAAAGCGGTGTTGTTGCATTGTTCTTGATTGTTGGATGTTCATTCGGTTTGCACTTTAGTTGGTTTCGTGGCTGCAGTGAGTGGCGGCCGAGCGCCCATGCCAATATGCGTGTGATGCGCTTGGTCGTCGATGAGAAGGCGCCGAAAGTTTGCGTCGCCGAGCGTCCATTTAGCGTCGGTGTGCGGCGATTAGTACCGGCTAGCGCCGAACGCCTAAACCAGCAAGATGGCATGGAAGGCCCCCCACGGGTTGCTACAGAAAGTGTTCCCCTGCCTCGAACTTATAGCTGATGTAAAACTAATGGTGGCGTCGTGTTTTGTCCATTTTCAACCGTTCGGAGTTCGGCCAGCCGGAACAAGAAAAACGGCAGCCAAAAACAGAAACACAACATGTGCAGTACAAAATGGAACCGACCCGAACTCGGCGCGACCGAGAATCCCCAACATGAACAACACTTGACCCCCAACCGCACAGAAAACATCGATCTTGAAGACGGAATTCACTTCCAGCGTGTTCAACGATGTCTATGTTTTGGAACACAATATCTCGCCAAGAAGCAAACGGGTCCTGAGGGAAGCGGGCCCAGCGGTTTTTGGCAGCTTTCGGGCTCCAGGGCTCCTCCATGGGCCCCTGGACTGTCTGGAATCGGCTCAGGACGGCAAGCTGGCCCTGGGGGAGAGGGCCGGGGCCTCAGGACCCGTTTCTTCCAGGACCTGGTTGTTTCATGCGAGATACCTTGATTCCCACGATTGGCGTCACATTATCTCCATGCCGATTTGTAGGGTTCCCTCAGCTTATCCGGGCACATCCCTGAGGTTGTCATCGCCGTGGGCTTGTCGATCGCAGGGCTAGGGATAAACTGGAGGCTGGTCACGTTCGACACGGCGTAAGCAGACAATTTCGGAGGTGCGCGGATTTCTTGGATCTACGTTCGACTACTTTCTCTGGCGCGCGGATCGCGGTTGGGGCGGCGCTGGAAGCGCCTCCAGGGGGGCACACCGCCTTACCAGTGAAACGTTGCGGATATCCGAAAGGTTTTATATTTAGTAAGTCTGTTTAACTGATCCCTATTCACTGAGTCACTCAGTTGGCCTGAGCCCCACTGGCAAGTCAACCATATATATATATATATATATATATATTCATATATATATATAGATTCATAAATAAATATATATATATAGATGTATGGGGATATCGGCTGTTCCCGTTGGGTTTCGAGGAGTGTATCTCCAATTGGTGCGGTGTGATGGTGGGACTGTGCACCATCGGCTAGACGTAAGAGTGACCTTTCGCCGGAGTGACCTTTGGTGCGGGCACAGATGGGCCCCCAAATGGCTGAAAACGAAGCAGCAGCAGCTACTTGCGCGCCCAGGTTTGGTCCCCCCGCGGCACCCAAAAAGTCGCGCACCCAAGGTTCACTCTTACCCAGGGTCACTCCTGCGCGTAGCCGATACCATGGCCAGATGGGGACGGGCCGGGGATCTGCTAAATGGCATTGCTTCTCCAGGTTTGTGCTGTCGCTGCGCGCCGGCCTCGCCGGCTGCTCCGCGCTGGCGCTCGTGGCGGCGCTGTGGCCGCTGGTCGGCGCGTGCGCCTCGTGCGTGGGCCTGCTGCTGGTCGCCGTGCCACAGGCCATGGCTCACCACCTACCAGACCACCCCAACCCAACCCGAAGGCCTCAATTTGCCCTCCACTTCCAGTGGGGGGGGGGTCGGGGAACGTTGAAAAAACAGATGGAACCCGTACCCCCCCCAACCCGAAATTCGGGTCAAATTCGGGTCTTCGGGTTGGGTTGAGGTGGTCTGGTAGGTAGTCAATGGCCAATTTCGCTCGGATCAAGCCGATTTGTCGTGGATTTCGGCGGGCCAGGTCCGATTTACTTTCGATGCTTCCACGGCCCAAGATGGATCGATGTTCTCATGGCGTTGTCGGGCATCCTGGCGCAGCCGATCCGACCCGGTTCCGTGCCCATGCAGCCCGCGTAAGGTCGCGCGTAAGCGCCATCGTCCCCAATGTATCAATTCGCGTTGTCGGCCCGCGCAAGCCACCGCGTAAGTTCTCCATGTCACTTCGCGTAAGACCCTTTTCGTTTCGTTGCTCACGTGGTCAGATTCCGCTGGCCTGTGTTGGAACGCGGCGATTCGTGCACGCAGGACAGGGCGTGCATGTTCGGGCGTCCGATCCGATCCGACGCATGTCCCGATCCGATCCGATTCATCGACTCGCTGTTGGCCGCTCCCGCAGGCGCGCTTCGCGGGCTACGACGTGAAGCTGCACGTGCTGAAGATGATGCAGCCGAGGGCCCGCGGCTGGCGCGTCGGGGCGGGAAACGGGGGTGAGCGGGAAGTCTAGGAGCAGTCATGCAGCATGTTTGTTTGGGGTTACGTCGCAGCGCGGCAGAGGCGATCCGCTCGCGTCCTATAGGCATACCAGCGACTGCAATTTTTGTGAAACATGTCTGGGTGTGGCTGTTATCGTTTTGTGCATCGGTCTTCTGTTCTAAGAATCGGGGGTGGACAGAACCCCCAACAGTGACACGTCGATTAGTGAATTGTCCGTTTTCGGTTCTCGAGAGGGCGCCGTGGCCGTTATTTTCCAGGCTTGCGCCCGCCAGGTTTGGGCCTCAGGTCGTTTTCACTAAACCACGTTTTACTAAAGGGGGTTCTGTCCATCCCCGAAAGAACTTCTTGAACACACTTGAGTTGTAGGGGCATGTCGTGGTAGGCCTACAAGAATGCGGGGACGTCCGGTCCCTGATCAGAAGTACCAGGCAAGCAACACAACTGAGCAAAAGTGCTCGGATGCCCGCGCGGCTTCTGTAGGTCGGCGCTGGCCCCCCTTTGCGGCCGCTCCTGCGTCGCCCTTTGGCGCGCCGCGCGCGCCTGGAGTGGTGGCCGGAGTGGTGGGTCGGCGCCGACCCAGGACGTCCGCGCGCATCTCCGAAAGCCCATGTTTTTTTGTGCTTGGTTTCTTCTTCCTCTGATCATGCAGCCCGCCCGGCAAAAGTGTCGGCGTCTGCGTGCCAAGCGTTTTCTTTTGCGGAGTTGGGCGCCCTGGCGCGGGCGGCCGAACGACCTCTGCAGCGGGACACTCTGTCAACGCTGTTGCCGCCGCAAAAAATGTCGGCCTAACGCTTGCACCGCGCAAAGGCGGCGCCGAACATTTCGCGCGGGTTGGGGCGCCAAGCGGGGAGGAGCGGGGGGGGGGTCTGGAGGTCCGAGGTCCGATGCGTTTTGCTGCGCGCTTCCCGGGGGCACTGTTTTGGGCCTTCTCGCGTTCTCGCTCGGCTGGATGTCGTTCGGCGTTCAGACGAGAACGGGCCAAGATTCTCGCACAAGTTCGGGGGCGTTGTTGTTCGGGTGAGCTTAAGGAGTGGATCGGAGGGGGAGTGGGAGGAGGGAGAGGAGAAGAGGGTGCGTTGAGCAGTCGGCGCATGAGGACAAAGAGAAGGAAACGGAGGTGGAGGATAAGGAAGAGGATGATGAAAAAGGGCGGCCGGGGCAAACCCAAGATGCATCCGCGATGTTGCGATCCGCCCTCCTGTTCCAAAGCCCTTCTTCGCACGCCGTTGAAGTTTCCTCGTTCATCCAACAATGCGCCCACTTGAATGACCAGCGCAGTCTGGCCTGTCGTTTCTTTGTGGGGTTCCGTTCCGAAAAGAACGAACCTGCTTCCTCATCGGAAATAGCCAGCAACGCGAGCAATTGCGACCACACGGTTCAACGAAGTTTCAGCCAGACCCCCTTTTTTATTCAAAAAACGCCCACGCGTTTAGCTGTTGCACGATACATTTGTGGCCATGAACCCCGGGGACGCCGCAAACAATAACTCCGTTTTGAGAGAGAAAGAGGGAGAGAGAGAGAGAGAGAGAGAGCCGCCCTGGATCTGTGCAGTGCCGCACGGTGAAGCTTCATGCATGTACAACTAACGAAAGTCGATCAAGGTCCCGAGCAGCTGCTTGTCCTCAACCCATGTATGTGTTGCAAGAGTTTGAGGCGAATCGTCGCGGCGGTACGCGCGCTACGGCGAGAACACCACTTTGAAAAGGAGCAGCCCTCCAGCCTGGATGTGGTAACGCGAGTCTGCGCGGAGCGCGGGGCTTCGGCGAGAACGCAGTTTTGAAAATGAACCCCAATTCCATATTGTCGGCTTTGTTTGGTTAGCTCTAAGACGAACGTCGCTTAGGCCAGAGACATGTTCAACACTGCCTGTGCGCCACCTTGATATCTTGTTGCATGTGTTTGAGACGATTGTGGGCGGTGCGATGGCGAGGGCCGCACGTCCCAAATGAACCGCCCTCCATCCTTGAAGCTGTTGCAAATTTGTTCGACGAATGAGCGAGGGGCTAAGGCAAAAACCATATGTTGAAAACGACCCCCCCACCCACCCCACCCACCGTTCCATACCTGAATATGTCGCAGATTACATGACGATTCTGCGCGTCTCTGAGGCGAGAACGACACTGTGAGAATTTCCCCCTTCATCGTTGTCTTCGCTTCGAACCTTGCAGACGAATGTGCGTGGCGCTGGTGGGAGAGCGACCTTTTGAAAACCGCCCGCTCTCCATCTTCGAAGCTGCTGCGCACACGTTCGAGATCGTGCATGGCGGGGGAGGCTCGAACGAACCGCCAAGCCCTCCCTGGGGGCACGCCAGGATGGATGCAGATGGCGGAACAGGAAGAGTACAGTCGGCGCCCTGAAGAAGGAACCCTTTTCGTTGGGGAGGGCTCCGTGTTCCTTAATTGTTTCGCAGCTTGCCTTGGAGTTTCCTTAGGTTTTCGATACGAAATCGAAGTTCAACTTATGGAAAATAGGGGCCTCGTTCCTTATTTAGGGTTCCTTAGGTCAACGCCTCGATTGTATGGGGAGGCGGAGGAGGGACAGGAGGAGGAAGAGGAGATCGTGGCAGGTCGTCGGCTTCAGACTTGCCAGCCTGCGTGCAATATGCGGTTGGACTGTCGGCGACGATGTTTCGTCGAGGGTGGGGTTGGGGGGCCCGGGAATGGGGCTCATTTGGCGACGGATGACGAGGAGGAAAAAAAAGACGAGGAGAAGGAGGAGGATGAGGACGGCGACGACGAGGAGGAAAAGGGGTGCGAAGACGAGGGCGAGCATAGAGGAGGACGAGGGGAATGACGAGGGCGAGGAAATAACGGAGGATGAAAGATGAGGAGCTGGGGGATAACGAGGAGCGGTTTGAGTGGCAGGACGACGAGGAAGAGGAAGTGTGGACGTGTGGAGGGGATGTCGCGGATGGGGGAATACGTACGTAGGCCCTTAGGCCCGTGGCTGGTGCCATCACGCACGCCTCTCCGAGAGCTCTCGTGAGGCGTTGCTGGTCCTAAAGATGGTGAGGGCGGCATTGGCCTCCACAGTTTCCCGCTCCTCCTGCTCCTCCTCCTTCCCCTACCTGTTCTCAATCTTCCTTGTTCTGCCCTCATCCTCCTTCTGCTGCTCTCCTCCATGCTCCCGCTGCTGCCAGAGGAGCCCTTTCTGCCCGAAGGCCACCCCCGCTGCTAGCACCTTCGTCCTCCTGCTGCTGCTCTTCCTGCTGCTGCCCGCTCCTGCCGCCGCTCGTCTGCGGCAAACCCTCCTCACAGGCTTTCAGCAGCTCCTGCCCGAATGCCACCTTCGCCGGGAACACCCGTATACTCAGGGTGCCGCCCAGCCTTTCGTGCCCCCCTCCCCCCCAGGCAAAACCTCGGACCTGCCGTGCTCAGGGAGGAGACCTCCGCCGTCATGATGCGGGAGCAGTTCCTGGAGGACCAGAAGAGGGAGGAAGGAGAGAAGACGGGAAGAAGGGAGTACCCGAAGAGCAGACGAGAGGGAAGGAGTGGCGGAGCGAGGTGGGAGGGAGGACTGGAGGAAAGGAGGGAGGAGGGATGCATAGAACGAGGCAGGAGGGAGGCTAGATGGCAGGGTGGAGGGAAGGAGGGAGGGAGGAGGTCACGAGGCACGAGAGAGGGAGGGAGGAGGGAACCGAAGGAGCGAACGAGTCAAAAGGCAGGAACAGGGATGAGCAGGAGGCCGAGTTGGCGTTGGAGGAGGAGGTGAGGTGGTAGGAGTGAGTGTGTGTGTGTGTGTGTGTGTGTGTGTGTGTGTGCGTGTGTGTGTGTGTGTGTGTGTGTGTGTGTGTGTGTGTGTGTGTGTGTGTGTGTGTGTGTGTGTGTGTGTGTGTGTGTGTGTGTGTGTGTGTGTGTGTGTGTGTGTGTGTGTGTGTGTGTGTGTGTGTGTGTGTGTGTGTGTGTGTGTGTGTGTGTGTGTGTGTGTGTGTGTGTGCGTGCGTGCGTGCGTGCGTGCGTGCGTGTGTGTGTGTGTGTGTGTCAGGTGAGGGGGAGGGGAGCGGATGATGGGGAGGAAGAGGAGGCGAATGCGGATGTGAACGACGAGGACGAGGGGGGGAGGATGCAGGGAGCAGGAGGGAGGTGGCCGTCCCTGGAGGAGACCCGGCTCGAGGAGGAGCGCGTGAGCCAGCTGCCGGCCGACTGCCGCCTGGGCGCCATCTGGACCCGTTCGCACAAAGAGCAGCCGACACCCTCATCCTGGAGGCGATGCCTCGCCCCCCCCATTTCAGGAGGAAAAGAAACACACAGACACAATTAATCGTCGATTTCCCAGAAAATATGGAAAATATGGGAAGTGGGGGGGAAGACAAAAATCCAAAAAATATGGGAAAATATGGCGAATCTTTCTATTTGTGTGTATTTGATTTTGTGTCCCAGTTTCCCTTCACCATTGCCCGAGGTCCTCCCCCTTCAGAAACCATGCCCGCCAGAAGGCCGAGGAAGCTCGGGGATCACCCCCCAGGGGGGGTGTGATGCGGACGCGCCCCCATCGAGCGCGGGCACACGCCCTCGCAGTTCCCCGAGGGGGGCTCCGATGCACATATTTGTTCAGCTGGAAACCCACTAAGCTGTTTGCATGGACGCCAACCACCGCCTCGTCCTCGCTTCCTCCTCTCTTTGTCCACCTGCCCTCGACTCCCCCTCGGGGCAGAGTTCGGTTGAGCCGAGTCGGCATTCGCGTCGCTTTGGGTTGCTCTGACCTTCGCGCAGCTGCACCCCGCGAGGCGTATATCATATACGCATATGTGTAGATGTGTGAGTACATATACATATGTATGATGTATGTGTATGTATCTAGATATGTATATATACATATATAATTGTCTGTATTCATTATCCTCGTCCTCTTCCTCCTCCTCCTGGATCCACCACTCCTTATTGTTGACGTGCTTTCTCTGAGGTGAGAGGGGTGAGGTCGCAGTGAAACGCAGAGCCCCCCCCCCAACCGTGATACCGCTGTCGGTTTCGTGTTCGTGTCGCACGTGCTGGCGAGGCGAAGCTGCGTGAGCGGGCGAGACGAATGAACCCTCACTGGCTAGGGCGCGGTCAGACCAAAAGACGCGCCCCCCCCGGGTTGGCCTGCGATTGTTGGGGGTGTCCCATCGGTGTCCCGTCCGTGGCGGCCCGTCGGGGGCTCGTCGGGGGTCCTGTCGGTGCCCCGTCGGTGTCTCGCAGTGAGATCGACCGTGAGATCCGCCGGGTCTCGACCCCCGGACCGCGCACCGGGGTCATATTATCCCTCGGGCCGCGCCACGCACCACGCGTTCGCGCTTCCCGGGGTCTCGACCCCCGGGGTCGCGCGCCCGGGGTCCCTCTGCGCTCGGGCCTCGCCACGGTGCCACGGACCACGCGCTCGAGACCAAACCGCGCCCTCGCGGGACCGGGAAGAGCTTCTCGGGGAAGTTGGAAGGTGTGTCGGAGCGTCGGGGAGGCTTGCAAGGACGCTTGGATGGAGGCTTGGAGAGCTTGCGAGCTTCCGAGGGGGAGCTGCTCTCGAGCTTCCGGAGCGCTGCGAGGGAGCGCCGCAGAGCTTCGCAAAGGCTTTCTCGGCACGCGCATGTGGAACGAGAAGGAACTCGCTCCCGGGACACGCCGCAAGTTCAAGCAATTTGTTGCGGGTAAATGCCTGACCAGGGGCCGTGGAGAGGAAATTGGCCGACACGTGTTGCCAGCTTCTCATCTGAGACCCTCTCAGCTCTCGGAGATCTATCCGGGAAGATCGAGAGAGAGAGAGAGAGATCGATCGTGCGACCGTTTGAGCGAGCCGTTGGTCCCTCCCCCCGAACCTCCTTGCCACCCGAAGGGTGATCGTATACGTATGTTTTTGTTACATCAAGGGTTTCCTTGCGGCCCCTGGGTATCTTTTCTTGAGCCCACATGGAGGCTTCGAGGGACTTCGAGGAATCTGTTCCCTCTCCTCCTCGCTGCCCTCCCCCCGTCCTCCGGGGAGATCCCTCGTCGCCACGGCCTGGTTCGCCCGGCAGTCGTGGCCAGGACGCGCTCCGGCACGGGTCCCTCGGGCGTCGAGTGAGGGGGGGCGATATCCCTGACCTTCCAGGAGGGCTAAAAAATAGCACCCGACTTAAAAACCTATCCCAAAGCTATTCTACGTCTTGGTTTTAGGCTGTTTCGCTCGGCTTTTTAGGTTTTCAGGTATCCAGTGCTAAAAAATAGCTCTCTGGAAGGTCAGGGATGGTGGGGGGCTGGGCACGAGGTGCACCTTTTGTGCCCCAAAGGGGTCCTGAAGGGGGCCCCACGAGAGCCAACAGGGTTCGAACGGTGAGCGTGTCTTTCCCTCCACGTCCTCTCGCCCCCCCGATGAGTGCACGCCCGCGTCCCGATGTCGATTCGGGGGGCCCGAGCCCCGAGACGCGGACGCCTCCGCTCCTGGCCAGGACGCTCCCGCGCCCAGGGCTCGATATGTGCGGCCGGCCCGTGCCACCCCGACGTGGTGGCGACGCTGGCGGGGGAGGAGGAGGAGGAGGAGGAGGATGAGGAGGAGCATACGAGGAGGAGGAGGAGGAGGAGGAGGAGGAGGAGGAGGAAGAGCAGGAGGAGGAGGAGGAGGAGGAGGAGGAGGAGGAGGAGGAGGAAGAGGAGGATGAGGAGGAGCATACGAGGAGGAGGAGGAGGAGGAGGAGGAAGAGCAGGAGGAGGAGGAGGAGGAGGAAGAGCAGGAGGCCTTCCCTGGGTGGGGCCCGAGTCGAGGGTCGGAGGCGGCAGATCGGCGGCGAGCGAGCGAGGGGGGGGGGAGGGAGGGAGGAGGAGGCCCTCTCGGAGGGCGGCGGGGCTGCTCGTCTGAGCCCCCGCGCCCTCTGAGAGGTGCTCGGCGTCTGCGGGGAAGGCACCGACGAGTTGTCAGAAGGCCGGGGAGCGTCCTGGCCTTCTGAGTCGGGAGCCTCGGGACGGGGGTCAATGCAAACGGGGGTCAGCCAGAGCGCCAGATCTTGCAGGATCCTGCAGGGCCAGGGTCGCATTGACCCCGGTCTGGGTGCAGGATCCTGCAGGATCCTGCAGGATCCTTCGCATTGACCCGGGTTTGGGTGCAGGATCTTGGAGGATTTTGCAGGCCTGATTGACCCAGGTTTAGATTGACCCGGGTCAGAAGATCCCCGATTGAGGAGGCCCGGCCCTTCTCATTTCCCCCCCGGGCTCGCCGCCGACCTCGAGGACTTTCTCCATCTAGGCCTCCTGGGTGGGGTCTGGGTAGATGGTCGGAGGAGGCAAAGGTACGTGCCGGTGGTTGAAATTAGGTCTTTCTGGATGTCCAGATCCCAGTTTACTTCAAGCACCTTCCTACGTCAATAATCGCTATGCCTTTGCTGTGTTTTGTGTATCACTGGGAGGGCCTGAGTGTTTTTTGTTAGTCCCTGGGAGGGCCTGAGTCCAGTCTAGTTTATCCGTAAGGGCTTCGCCTCCTGCCGCCGGCCCCCTCCTCTTGAATGGGACTTGTCAGAGCTGTGTTAGGATGTCTGGACGCTGACGTGAAGCAATGTCGGGACTTCACGGACTGCGAAATAGTTGACATTTAGGACTGATACATAATTTTCGATAGTTCATGGCTTCGGGGGCGCTAATATCGAATAGTGTACAAAGGTTTACGGCTTCGGCGACGCGACTATTGCTTATTTTACCAGGGTGTATGTCCTCGAGGACGCATTTCCGGTGTACTTTATGTGGTTGTATGGCTTCGGGGTCGCGAGCATTATGTAATTTACATGGGCTTGAGGCCTCGGGGACGCGAATATTGTGTAATTCACACGGGTGTATCGCCTCGCGGGCGCGAATATGGTGAAATGTACATAGGTTTATGGCTTCGGGGACGCGACCATAGAGTAATGTATGAAAGTTTATGGCGTCGGGGACGCAAGCATTGGATACTTTTCAATGGCTTATGGCCTCGGGGACGCAAGCATCGCGTAAACTAGTAGGAATTATGGCTTTGGGGAAACGAATTTTGTATACTTTACAACGGTATTCGGACTCGGGGGGGCGAATATGGCGTAATTGAATAAGGAGTATGGCCTCGGGGACGCGGTTATGGTATATTTTTACATGTCCCACGCCCCACCATGAATTCTGAGAACCTTCCCAGGGCGTGGTGAAAAAATCCGTTTGGGGCTCACAGCAACACGTAACAGTAAGAAAGTGGAAAGCAGATTTGTACCAGCGGAAATTGGAAATTTCAATTGGAACAGGGAGCTGCAATCTTCACCCTCGCAGCCTGGTGGCCCCGCAAGGGGTCCGGCGGATCCGCCTTCCTACTTCATGTTTCTACCTATTTCTTCCGACCGACGGATACCGATGCTGCTACAACATGGAGGCCTCCTGGATGGTCGTCTTCGCTGTGTCGCCCTCCCTCCTCTTCCGCGAGCTTTCACGCTCACGAGTCACGCAGGAATTCAAAGTGCATCCCAGGCTCCAGCCCAACCGCCGAGCTCTCACAGGGCCGTCCTGTTGGACGTAGGTCGGCGCCTCGCCTCCTAGATGGGTTCCAGTTACAATGTAACTGGACCCCATCGCGTCGCATCTTCGAGGCGTCGGGGACTCAACTCGGTGTGGAGGCCGACTTTCTCCACGCATGCGTCGTAGATGCATCGCCGACGTCGCTGATGCATCGGCGATGACTCGGTGATGCATCGTCGATGCATTGGGGATGCGGAGCGATCTTTCGACCTCTTCAACGCGGACCCCATCTAGGAGGCCTCTATTCAGAAAGCAAGATGGGCTCGGGGTCCACAGAAAGCAAGGTGGGCTCGAGAGCTTCTGGGGATCTCCAGATGAAACTATTGTTCAAGATTCATTGGTTCGCCTGCGCGGCGTCAGAAGGCAGAGACGACTCCGTCACGGCATGAGCTTGCTGTGCCTACACGCCTTCTTGGCCAATGAGAAGGCCAGAAAACAAACCTCATGCGCGCAGGATCTCTGCAGGTGTATTGCCGGCGCCCTTATACAATCATTCTGCTCGGTTCTGCTGCCCAGTGTAGGCAAACAGCTCCAACCCCAAATGTGTGACGCAGGCGAAACCCTTTGCCTGCACAGGAGTCTTGCTTATGACTGAGCGCGTTCCGCCGACGCTGGGAAGGGTGGTGGGTCGAACCGGGGAGGGGGAACCACCCCCGGGAAGGTGGGGGTCGAACGGGGCCCTCTCCCCCCTCCCCTTTTTCCAAGGGGGGTGGGGTTCGGACCGGGGAGGGGGCTCTCCCCTCCCGAATTGCAACGACGCGGGGGGGGGGGTCGAGCCGGCCCCCCCCCCCCGTGCCATCGCCAGTGGCAAACGACGACGCGGGGCACGGGCGTGGCGCCGACGACGACGAAGACGACGACGAAGACGACGACGAAGACGACGACGACGACGACGACGACGACGACGACGACGACGACGACGACGACGACGACGACGTACACGACGACGACGTTTAAGTCCTAGTAGAATTCGAGTAAGCTGGATCGAGCCGAGTGAGTTTCTGTCCGAGCCGGATCGAGTCCCAGTAGGGTTCTATCAGAGTCAGGTCCAGACGTAGTGGGATTCTGTGAGAAATTGACTGGCCCCTAGGAGGATTCTCTTAGAGGTGGGTAAAGAACGGATCAGATGAGAAAAGAGATGTATCCAATCCGAATGGGTTGCTATTTAGGTTGGATCGAGTCTCGAACGCATTGTACCAGAGGTGGATCTAGCCTGGATGCGATGATATTACACGTTGCTCGAGCCCTGGTAGGATTCTCTCTCTGCTGGATCCAGCCTTGGATTTCATTAGAACAAAGTCGAACTTGTTTAGGATTCCATCACAGCCGGATCCACCTTTATTCGGCTCCTGTTAGAGTTGGACTGAGCAATGGAAGGATGTTAGTAAGGCTGGCTGGCTGGCTGTGCGGTAGACAGTCAGTGGGATTTTATTACAGGTGGATCGAACCCTAGTAGGGTTCTAGTCTAGCTGGATCAAGCCCGAATGGGATATTATGAAGGCTGGATCGATACTCAAAGGAGTTTCTTCAGAGCTGGATCGAGCTCGAGCAAGATTCTTTAACAGTTGGATCCAGCTTTACTCGAATCCCAATACATGGGCCCACTCCTGTCATGATTGTATCAGCGCTGTTTCTAGTCCAAGAGCTGGAGCGAACCTGAATAGGGTTCTATTGGAATTGCATCAAGCCGGTCCTCGTCGTAATCGTCAGTATTCGTCGTAGTCGTTTTCCTTTTCCGTCGTCGTCGTCGTTGTCCACCAGTCCTCGTCGTCGTCCCCCTCGTCATTTGCACTCGTCAATCCTCCATCGTCCGCATCGTTGTAGTCGTCGGTATCCGTCCTTCATCGTCCATCGTTCATCGTCTGTCGTCTGCGTTCCGTCGTCCGTCTTCCGTCGTCTTTGCCGTAGTCGTCGTCTTGGTCGTGGTCGTCGTCTTGGTCGTGGTCGACGTCGTCGTCGTCGTCGCACTTAGTCGCTGGCGGTGCCCGTCGTCGTCCTTGGCCGTTGTCGTCGTCCATCCGTTGTCGTCGTCATCGTCGTCATCGTTCTCCGTCCTCCGTCGTCGACGTCGGCATCGTCGTCGCTGTGCGTTGTTCGACGTTCGTCGGGGGGAGGGGAGGTGCGATTCGATACCCCCTTCTCATTGGAAAAGGGAGGGGGGGGGGTTGGTTCGAACGCCCCTCTCTTTGACCCCCCCCCCCCCCGGGTAGAGAGGCCGGTGTCCGGCCCCCCTTGTTGAGAGAGGCTGGTTCTCGGGGAGGGGAGGGGGAGCGGTTTTCCAGGCGCGCCGGCGCGCCGAATGTTTCGATGGGAGGGGGGCGGTTCCGACGTGTCACGGGGGGTTCCCTGAGCAAGCGTCCATGTGAGGAGCGTTACGCGTGAGGGGGGTGCTCCGACGTGACGCGTTCTTTCTTACTTATGGTGAGCTGCCCCCCCTCCTGCCGCCCGATTTTCTGCTTTTATCTATCGCGCCTCCACCCCGAACCCCCCTGTGTCCCCTCGTTCCTACCTGCATGTCCTCCTCCTCCTCCTCCTGACCCCCTCATATCCTCGCCCTTCTTCTTCTTCTTCTCTTCCTTCCCCTGCTCCTTCGTCGATCCTCCTCCTGCCTTCCGCTCTGCTCCCTCACTCCGCACTCATCCGCCTCCCTCCGCCCTTTTTTCTGCTCTCCCCTCTCTGCCTCCCTCCCTTCCACCCTTCCTCCTCAATCCTTCGCCTCCCGAAGAAGGGCAGCCTACATACACATAAACTCTCGGAGACTCGCGCAGGTTTGTTTGGTCGAAGCCGGACACCCCGCCTTCCCAGCGGACCTCTGATAGTCTGCGTCTATCCCAGTTGCGCTGCCGATGCCGCCGCCGCGCTCGGGCAGGTGCGGGGGAGGGATCCTTGAGGGGCGGGGGGAGGGGGAAGGGCCCACGGATCCATCCCCAGACTCTCTTGCGTCCGGGGCCGTGCTTTCTGCCCGGAAGGCCGATCGCGTTGCGTTTGTGCCTGCGCCTTCTATTCTGCGAGCCCTCGCGCGCCAGGACCCTGACCACGACCTGCTTCTTCGTCTGCGCCTTCCGCTCCGTCATCCTCTGGGTCGGCGTGCTGCAGGGCTGCTCGCGCGCGGAGCGGGACGTGCACGAGCCAGGGTGCCTGCCGACTCTGGCCGCGATGGTCGGCCTCCCTCCCGAGGCGGGGAAGTATAGATTACCACCGCCCAGAGGATCGAGTTTCGGAGTTCTCGGCGGGCGGTGGCTATATGGATACAGTTTCGCCCCCCGGGTCCCAAATGTAGATGCAGATCCACCGCCCGCTGGCTCCCCAGGGCGTCGGTTCCCAGGCGGTGGCAACGGATAAGTCCCCGCATCGCGCCCCTCCTCTCCCTCCCTGTCTGTCGCTCCTGTTTCCTCCCTCTCCTGCCCTCGCTGCCCCCCGGCGTTCCGGCGGTCGTCCGTCGCTTTGCCGTCGCCATGTCCGTCTACCGTCGTCGTCGATGGTGGCTGCCCGCTTTTTTTGCGTTCTGCCCAGACAGCGAAAGAGCGCGCACGTCGCGACCGGAATAAGAAAAGGGGGGCCCCAGCTTCAAGCTACCCCCCCCCTTTCCTTCCTTCCAAAAGGGGGGGGAGCTTCCGAAGCTATCCCCCCACCTCCCTTTCGTAAGGCTTTCTAAGCTGGGGGGGCTCTGGCTCAAGGGGGGGGGGGGGAGCTTCGAAGCTACCCGCCCTCCCCTCCTTTTTTGGAGCAGATGGTGAGCCCGGGCTTACCTTTCAAAGGGGAGGGGGGGCTTCGGAAGCTACCCACCCCTTCTTCCTTCTTTGGTTTGGACACAGGGGGGGGGCGGCTTCAAGCTACCCCTCCCCCTGTGCAAAGGGGGGGGCTTCCGAAGCTACTTCCCCCCCCTCCCGGGCTCTGGCAAAATGGCGGAATCCGTGACGATAGGTGCGCACCGCAGCGCTAGAGAACGAATTGGATAATAACGTCGACCCCTGGTTCGTTTTCTTGTTTTTTCTTTTCTCGGCCCCTGGTTCGTAGTCTCGTTTTCTCGGGCCCTGCTTCGTTTTCTTCTGTTCTCGTTTTTTGTTCTTTCTTGTTTTCTTGTGTTTTCGGCTACTGGGTCGCGGTCTCGTTTTCTCTGATCCTGGTTCGCGTTTTCGGTTTCTTGTTTTTTCGGCGCCTGGGTCGTGGTCCAGTTTTCTCGGGCCCTGCTTCGTTTTCTCGTTTTCTCGGCCCCTGGGTCGTGGTTTTGTTTTCTCGGACGCTGGTTAGTATAGTATTCTCGTTTTCTCGTTGTCTCGGTCCCCGGGTGGTGGTCGTGTATTCTCTGACCCTGCTTCGTTTTCTCGTTTCTTCATTTTCGCGGCTCATGTGTCGTGGTCTCGCTTTCTCGAACCAAGCGTTTTCTGGTGATCTCGGCCCCTGGGTCGTGGGTCGTTTTCGCGTTTTCTCATTTCCTCGGCTCCTGGGTCGTGGCCTCGTTTTCTCGGAGCCTGGTTCGTTTTCTCGTTTTTGTTTTGTTTTGTTTTCTAGGCCCCTGGGTCGTGGTTTCGTTCTCTCTGTTCCGGGTCTTTTTTCCAGTTTTTTGTTGTTTTCTCGGCCCCTGGTTCGTAGTCTCCGTTTTCTCGGGCCGTGATTCCTTTGTTCGTTTTCTCGTTTTCTCGGCCCCTGGGTCGTGGTCGTGTTTTACTGGACCCTGGTTCGTTTTCGCGTTATTTGTGCTCTTGGGTCGTGGTCTCGTTTGCTCGGTCTTTGGTTTGGTGTTTCGTTTTCTCGTGTTCTCGGCCCCTGGGTCGTGGTCTCGTTTTCTCGGACCCTGGTTCGTTGTTCTGTTTTCTCGCTTTCTCGGCTTTTGTTTTTTGTGTTGTTTTTGTTCGGGGCCTGGTTCGTGATCTTGTTTTCTTGATTTCTCGGCCCCTGGGTCGTGGTGTCAATATTCCTCGGATTCTTGTTCATTTCCTCGTTTTCTCGTGTTCTCGGCCCCATGGGTCGTGGCCTCCTTATCTCTGACCTTGGTTCGGTTTCTCGTGTTCTCCGTATCTCGGCCCCTGGATTGTGGTTATGTTTTCTCTGACCTTGGTTTGTTTTCTCGTCTTCTCGTTTTCTCGGCCCCTGGGTCGTGGTCTCGTTTTCTCAGGCCCCGGTTCGTTATCTCGTTTTCTCTTTGTCTCGGCCTTTGGGTTGTTGTCTCGTTTTCTCGGCCCCTGGTCCGTTGTCTTGCATTCTTGTTTTGTCGGCCCCTGGGTCGTGGTCTCGTTTTCTCTGACCCTGATTCGTTGTCTTGTTTACGTGTTTTCTCGTCCCCGGGGTCGTGGTCTTTTTGTCTCAGACCCTGTTTTTTTTTGTTTTTTGTTTTCTCGGCCCCTGGCTCGGACCCTGGTTTGTTCTATCGTGTTCGCATTCTGTCTGCCTCTTGGTCATGGTCTCGTTTTCTCGGACGCCGGTTCGTTTTCTCGGTTTCGTGTTTTCTCGGCTCCTGGGTCGTGGTCTTCTTTTTGTTGACCCTGGTTCGTTTTCTCGCTTTCTCGGCCCCTGGGTCGTGGTTTGATTTTCTCGGGTCATGGTTCGTTTTCTTGTTTTCTCGTTTTCTCTGCCCCTGGGTTGTGGTCTCGTTTTCTCTGGCCCTGATTCGTGTTCTCGTTTCTTGCTTTCTCGGCGCCTGTGTCGTGGTCCAGTTTTCTCGGACCCTGGTTCGTTTTGTCGTTGTCTCGTTTTCTCGGCCCCATGGGTCGCGGTTTCGTTTTCTCGGTCGCTGGTTCATTTTCTCGTTGCCTCGTTTTCTCGGCCCCTGGTTCGTAGTCTCGTTTTCTCGGGCCGTGATTCCTTTGTTCGTTTTCTTGTTTTCTCGGCCCCTGGGTCGTGGTCCAGTTTTCTCGGACCCTGGTTCATTTTGTCGTTTTCTCGTTTTCTTTTCCCCTGGGTCGCGGTTTCGTTGTTTCGGACGTTGGTTTATTTTTTCGTTGCCTCGTTTTCTCGGCCCCTGGTTCGTAGTCTCGTTTTCTAGGACCGATATTCGCTTTTTCTCGGCCTGGGTCGTGGTCTCGTTTGCTCGGACCTTGGTTTGTTTGATTGTTTTCTTGTGTTCTCGGCCCCTGGATCGTGGTTTTTGTTTCCTCTGACCCTGATTTCTCGTCTCCTCGTTTTCTTGGCCCCTGGGTCGTGGTCCCGTTTTCTCGGGCCCCGTTTGGTTTTCACGTCTTCTCTTTGTCTCGGCCCCTGGGTTGTTGTCTCGTTTTCTCGGCCCCTGGTCCGTTGTCTTGCATTCGTGTTTTGTCGGTCCCTGGGTCGTGGTCTCGTCTTCTCTGACCCTGATTCGTTGTCTTGTTTTCTTGTTTTATCGTCCCCGGGGTCGTGGTCTTTTTGTCTCGGACCCTGGTTCGTTTTGTCGTTTTCTTGGTTTCTCGGCCCCTGGCTCGGACCCTGGTTTGTTTTATCGTTTTCGCATTCTGTCTGCCTCTTGGTCGTGGTCTCGTGTTCTCGGACGCCGTTTCGTTTTCTCGGTTTCGTGTTTTCTCGGCTCCTGGGTCGTGGTCTTCTTTTTGTTGCCCCTGGTTCGTTTTCTCGTTTTCTCGGCCCCTGGGTCGTGGTTTGTTTTTTTCGGGTCATGGGTTGTGGTCTCGTTTTTTTCTGACCCTGGTTCGTTTTATCGTTTTCTCTGCCTCTGGGTCGTGGTCTCGTTTTCTCTGGCCCTGGTTCGTGTTCTCGTTTCGTGCTTTCTCGGCGCCTTGGTCGTGGTCCAGTTTTCTCGGACCCTGGTTCGTTTTGTCGTTGTCTCGTTTTCTCGGACCCTGGGTCGCGGTTTCGTTTTCTCGGTCGCTGGTTTGTTTTCTCGTTGCCTCGTTTTCTCGGCCCCTGGTTCGTAGTATCGTTTTCTCGGGCCGTGACTCCTTTGTTCGTTTTCTTGTTTTCTCGGCCTGGGTCGTGGTCTCGTTTTCTCTGACTTTGATTTGTTTTATTGTTTTCTCGTGTTCTCGGCCCCTGGGTCGTTATCGTGTTTTATCGGACCCTCGTTTATTGTCTCGTTCTCTCGTTTTCTTGGCTTCTGGGTTTTGTTTGGTTTTCTCGGGCACTGGTTCGTTTTCTTGTTTTTCTCGTTTTCTCTGCCCTTGGGTTGTGATCTCGTTTTCTCGGGCCCTGGTTCGTTTTCTCGATGTCTCGTTTTCTCGGCCCCTGGGTCGTGGCTTCGTTTTCTCAGGCACTGGTTTGTTTTCTCGTTGTCTCGTTTTGTCGGCCTCTGGGTCGTGGTCTCGTTTTATCGGACCCTGGTTCGTTTTCGCGTTCTCTCGGCTCCTGGGTCGTGGTCGCGTTTTCTCGGACCCTGGCTCGTTTTTTTAGTCCCTGGTTCGTTTTCTCGTTATCTCGGACCCTGGGCCGTGGTCTCGTTTTCACGGACTCTGCTTCGTTTGTTCGTTCTCTCAGCCTCTGGGTCGCGGTCTCGTTTTCTCTGACCCTGGGTCGTCGTCGTCGTCGGTCGCGCATCGTCCGTCGTCCGTCGTCCGTCGCCGTCTTCGTATGACCTCGTCCTCGTCGTGACGACCACGACGAGGTCATGCGAAGACGGCGACAATGACGGCGACGGCGGCGACAACGACGACGAGGACGATAACGGCGTCGTACGAAGACGTCGAGAGACGGCGACGGCAACGACGACGGCGACGGGGGAGGATCGTCCGGCAGGGGGAGTTCAAGGGAGGGGGTGGTAGCTTCCAGCGGGGGGGGTTCAAAGGGGGGGGAGGGGTAGCTAAGCCCTCCCCCCCTTTGGAAAGTGGGGGAGGGGGGGGAGCTTCCAGAGCGGCAAAAGGGGGGGAGGGGGGGGGGAGCTTCTGGGGGTGGGACGAAAAAGGGGGGGGGGGTGGGGGTCCGGCAGAGGGGGGCCAAAGGGGGGGGGGGGCTGGCTAAGATCCCCCCCTCCTTTGGAAAGGGGGGGATGGGGAGGGGTAGCTTCCAACCGCCAAAAGGGGGGAGGGGGGGGGGGTAGCTTCCAGGGGCGGACGAAACAGGGAGGGGCGGGGGGGGTCAGCTTCCAGCAGGGGCGGTTCAAGGGAGGAGAAGGTGGTAGCCCCCCCCCTTTGCTCCGTCACTGTGGGCGCGCTCTCTCCAGACAGCGTGCCCCTTCGTTGGCGCGCGCGTGGCCTCCCTCCTCCTTCCTCCCTTCGGGACTCCCCTCCTCCTTCCTCCCT